AATTACACCGTAATGCTCTTATTTAGTTGATTGAAGATCCATTTCTACTAAGCCATATTTAGGTTAGTTAATGAAATTATCCTAGGATACCTTTCAAACGTCTAAAAGTCCTTATTTGTCACCCTAATGACCGATCAACTCTTTGTTTGCTCTTGGTCTATTGACTAATAAATTCATACTATATAGGTTTTGACCTTAACTCGATCAACGTCAAATGAAAACGATTAACCTTAGCACAATTTCAATCCACTTGCATCATACTTTCAATCTTGGAATGTATTCAACCCAATTATTATCTTTTGGTTATTATCACTATGTTATTATCAAAACTCATAAGCCAATTAACCATATATATATATGTGTGTGTGTGTGTGTGTGTGTGTGTGTGTGTGTGTGTGTGTGTGTGTGTGTGTGTGTGTGTGTGTGTGTAAGTGTTTGATAAACGGGAGAAAACGAGAATTCCAGAAAGAATAGAAAGTGAATGAATATCAGTAAGTGAGTTCAAAATACAACGAAAGTAAAGTATTTATACAAAGAGGAAGAGAGAGAAAGAAAAACATAACAAACAAAACTAACAAAACTAATTCAAAAGCACGGTGACCGAACGACTTCCGAGAGTTCATCCGTTCGGTAGTAAGCAGACGTTCAGTGCCGCTCGGCATGATACTGTGGTCAACAACCGTTCGGTGCAACCGCTCGACAAGATCTTGTTGTCAACAGCCGTTCGGTACAGCCGCTCGGCAAGATCTTGTAGTCGTTCGGTAAACTGTAGAAGAAAAGATATGTGAATGTCTCTATCACCCTCCAATGTCTCTATCACCCTCCCTCAAGATGAACATGGATATTATGCATGTTTAGCTTGGAAGTAATAGTGGTAAAAGGAGAAGGATAAAGAGATTTGGTGAAAACATCTGCAACTTGATTGGTAGAAGAAACATGAAGAAGTTTGATCTTTGTTCGTCTACTCCTAATCTTGTTTGCAAGCTTCAAAAGTCTCTCTATGGTTTAAAACAAGCTACTAGAAATTGGAATCATAAACTAACATCTGAATTACTTTCTATTTGGTATACACAAAGCTCTGCCGACCACTCTCTATTTATCAAACATTCTCCCTCTGCTATCACTATTATCCTAGTATATGTTGATGATATCCTTCTTTCTGAAAATAACTTGTCTGAAATCACCACTGTCAAAGATCATCTCCACAGCAAGTTTCACATTAAAAATCTTGGAGATCTCAAATATTTTCTGGGATTCGAAATTGCTAGATCTCAAACTGGAATATGCATCAATCAAAGAAAATATTGTCTTGAATTGATTTCTAACGCTGGTATGTTAGGATGTAAACTTGCTCCCACCCCTGTTGATCCTTCTATCGAACTTCATGCTGATGAAGGCATCCTTCTCACAGATCCTTCTTCTTACCGGCATCTTATTGGACGACTTCTCTATCTCACTAATACATGGCCTGACATTGCTTTTGTCGTCCAACAACTTAGCCAGTTTGTTTCCACTCCTCGTCAACCTCATATGCAACAAGCCATGAGGATCATTAGATACTTAAAGAATGCTCCTGGTTCTGATCTATTATATGCTGCTAATAATTCCTTCCGCATTCATGCATACTCTGATTCTGATTGGGCTATTATGCTACCACTAGAAGATTCATTTCTGATTTTTGCGTCTTTCTTGGAACTGCTCTTATCTCCTAGAAATCAAAGAAACAAACCACTGTTTCCAAATCTTCTTTTGAAGCCAAATACAGGTCTTTAGCTTCCCTAACATGCGAATGTTTCTATCAAAATATATATATATATATATATATATATATATATATATATATATGTGTGTGTGTTCACGTAAACACAGTCATTCAATACTAAACATTATATGCACTCATTCTATCTTATTTATACTATTTTATTGACCTTGAGTATTAAAGAGTTTTCTACAAGGGGATCTGTCTCTAATTTTTGTAAGCTCGGTCGAGATTGTTCAACAACAATCCAACACCCTAAGAGCATTGACTCCCCTTGAAGATTGCTTGGTGATTTCTGGAAATAACAAATATATATAATCCAATGTTCAAATTAATCCTCCTTTTGCTACTCCAGAGTAAGATATATTGTTGAGCAATATGCATTTCAATTTTATTCTCAACGCGAAGAACGAAGACAAAAACTTTTGATCTCGATTTTTAAAGTTACAAACTTTTTAACCACGAGCAAAATTGGAAAATAAATATAAAATATAATAAAGAATATGTTAGAGAATGATAACGACAGAAAAATATATAAACTACTATCCCAGTGCCTATCGTCAAGAGTGGAATGATCGCTATATTTATTTACCTTAAATTTGCTAGATATTTTTTTTGCCTTTTACCGTATTCATTGGTGTGGGGACGGTCACACGTACATGCTATTTATTATACGGGGAAAGTAATTATCAAAACATAAAGAATATAATTCTTTATTGTGTAAATCTCTATTTTCATTTATCTACTTGAATTGCATATTATTAATTTAAAGCTACTAATGAAGGAGACTTTTACCTAAAAGAGATTTGAAATGGTAGTCAATATGCGAACTTCAAGTTGCATCTGAATATCTTCATCAAATACTACTCTTAAGAAAATTTCTTTTGGTGTGTTTATCATGTTAAAACTCCATCAAACGCTTCTCTCAAGAAAATCGATTTTTTTAATGCTTATTAATATTTTTCAGTACTTGTCAAATCTATTTAGAGACAACTTTATATTGAATTATGAGCACAGTTGGTTTAAATCCAGAATTACTCGTTCGAGTTAATGCATTAAGATTCTCATCAATTTCCGCAACTACCCCAGAAATAAATAGTCATTAAAGTATTTATTTATTCAGCCTTCTTTCCTTTATAGTGCATCTCACTAAATTAACCACAAATAAACACAGTCTTCACTGTTTGAATTTTCTTGACCATGTCCTAGGAGATGTTTATTTTCCTCTTTGTTGTTTATAACTAGCCAACCACATTGTCTATGATAGAAACCGTACCAAAATCAATGGAGAGCTTTGAAATCCTTGGTGGATGCCTTTTGTTCCTCTCTTTGTTATCCATTTCCTCCACTTTGGACATGATTACTCCGACCCAACCTCTGAGAGATCGTATGAATGAGAATGTAACTCTTGTCTCAACAAATGGAACCTTTGAAGCAGGATTCTTCAGCCCTGGAAATTCCCGTAGCCGTTACCTTGGAATTTGGTACAAAACCATATCCCCCAGAACAGTGGTTTGGGTGGCCAACAAAGAAACACCACTTCAAGACCACTCTGGAGTCTTAGAACTAGACAGTGATCAAGGGTTTCTTAGTATAAAAAATGGCGCAGGAGCCCAAATATGGTCCTCAAATGCATCATCAAACACACCAAGCAAACCAGTTGTCGTGGAGTTGTTGGAATCAGGAAACATGGTTGTGAAAGATGGCCATGATAACTTTTTATGGCAAAGCTTTGATTACCCTGGTGATACTTTTCTTCCAGGAATGAAGCTTGGAATGAACTTGAAAACCGGTCATCACCGAGCTCTGAGATCTTGGAAATCCCTCTACGATCCTACTCCAGGTGAATTTTCATTTGGTGTTGATACTCGTGGCCTTCCTCAACTAGTTATCACGAAGAGTGATGACATAGTTTATAGACCAGGCTCTTGGAATGGTGTTAGAGTCACAGGAGTACCTGCACAAGGATCTCACCCATTAACGAAATCCCTTTTTGTTATGAATGAAGATGAAATCTTCTATGAGATTCAACTCTTGAATAGTTCAACTAAACTGAGAAGCAGATTGCTCCCAGAAGGGTATCAAATACGTTTAATATGGTCAGATGAGGGTGAAAAATGGGATACTGTATACTCTGGTTCGTTTGATGAGTGTGAGAGATATGGTATGTGTGGTGCTAATGCTATTTGCAACGTGAGTGGAGAACCTCAGCACTGCGAATGTTTGAGTGGATTCAAATCCAAAGCTGCGGATTCAACTTGTGATCGAATTAGACCTCTGGATTGCAACAAGGGAGATAGTTTTAAGAAGTACGAGGGAGTGAAATTGCCAGACACATCTTCATCTTGGTATGATACGAGAATGAGTCTTGAGGAATGCGAGAAATTGTGCTTGAGCAACTGCGCTTGTACTGCATATGCTCAATTGAATATCAGTGCCAACGGAAGTGGCTGCTTGCAATGGTTTAATGACATTGTTGACATCAGGACACTAGCAGATGGACAAGATTTTTATCTGCGAATTGCAGCTTCAAAATTTCAAGGTATGTATACCTTTTTACAATTCATTCTTGGTTAATTCTATCGTCTTTTCATGGATGCTAAGTTCTACCCTGCTAGAAAGTAAGAAGCATTTATGATGAATTATGAAATAGATACAAAGTTATGCTAGGTGAATGCAGGTACAGTAAGCGTACTCGGTAGAAGGTAAGGTATATATATACGGGGAAAAGAAAAAAACAAAATATACAAAGGGTATGCTATTAACTTTTTAGAAATATATATATGCAAATGATGAATACGAAATATTTGTGGATTTCGTGAAAGTATTTATTTATTTATTTATAAAAAAAGGAATTCTCATGAATCACATTGCTGAACAAGTTTCGACAATTGCGAAACTCAGGCGCTGAAATCGAATACTAAAGTAAACCCAAATTACTGCAAAATACTGTGATTATTTTTGAAAAATGTTTTCTTAATAATTTTTTTACAACAATCTCTGAATAGATTATGCAATAGTTTATGATGAATCAATTTTAAATATATAAACCAATAAAATAATTACACATAATCTATCATGAAAAAATTATTAAAAAAATTGTTAACTTGTCAAAAGTCAAGAAAAAAAATACTTAGTCATGAATGGAGATGAGAAATAAATCTCTTTGCATAGGTATTATCACATGAACATATCCCGCTTTCATTGAAGAATTTTCATATTAATTATATTAATTGAGTATGGATAAAAGTATGGTTAAAACTTGATTGTTTAAATTGGATATGGATTAAGGATAATAACGTGCATGTAAGTATGTAAAATTGTTTTAATTGGGTATGGATTACACGGATGAAGATGTATGAATATATGTATACCTAAGTATGTGCAAGACTTTATTGTTTACATTGTGTATGGATTATATATATCTTTTTATATGCATCTAACTCATTTATGTCATCACGTCTTTTTTTTTTATACGGATCTGACTCATCTATGTCATAATGTTACATTTTTGTTTTCTATTAATAAAATACTCAATTTATTCACTTTAAATATTTTTAATTATTTTTTATGTTTCAACTTAAGAATATTTTACTCTCAATTTTAAGTATAGTTAAATCCTTATAATTTATTCAGAAGAACATAACTTATATTCTTTGTTCTATTTGGTATAATTCATTCAATGTCTAAATTACATTTTTCCCTTTGCTTGATTTCATTTAAATGATTGTATTTCGAGAAATAAAATCCTTGATTTGTTGAATCAACACATCTAAACATTTTTAGTCTTTTCTACCATTATTTGATATTTATTTATTTATTATTTTGTACTTTAATTCAATACTTACACAATTATAATTTCTCTTATGATTTCTGAAATTGAATAAAAAATATATATAATCTTTATATTAAATACTTGATGTTTATATAACTCTAACAATATAAACATAACTAATATTTTAAACATCAATGGGTACTACCAGTACGATGTTATTATATCCATATTATTAGAGAGGGACCACACCCACCTATCTCTTGTCATCCTTGTAGTTACAAATGTTAAGCTCAACATTAAGAATGAAAGAAAATAATGGAGAAAGAAAAGAAAAATGTATTTGAGGGTGTAGAAAAATAATCGAAGTTAAGTAGGATGTTTTTGAAATTATTTTTATAAGAAAAGAAAAAAAAGTATACATGAAATAAAACAATAAAATAAGATATATATAACTTAAATTCGGATACTTATATTATTTTCTTTTCAAGTCTTTTATTTTCTTTCAATTTGGAAAGGTGCATATCCCTTATAAACCAGAAGATATGTTCCCAAGGTTAAGTTGTACAAGAATTTCTATATATCTCTGTTTCTGTTTATATGTGATGTAAATGGTCCAATGTGAAATTGTGTGTCTGTTGATTATTAGTTGATTATGTTCTTAATCTTTCAGATCACGCCTTAAACAGGAAGATAGGAGGAATTATACTTGGCTGCACTATATTCATCATCGCCATTGTAGTATTTGGATTCATATTTTGCCTTAGGAGGAATAAACTCAAGCAGTCAGGTGAAGTCATTATGATTAAATATTGCCAATGTAATTTTTGTTATATTTTACTTTAAACCGAACAATGACGGAATGTAAATAATGTTAAAAAAAAATCCAAACAAATGACTGGATTCTTCAATTTACTATGGTTTGTTTGAAAATTAACAACCTTTAAATAAGTGGACCAAATACATATAACAAAACGCTTCTAAATAAATGAAAAATTAAAACTATTTATCTTTATTTTATCTCAATCAAAAATAAACTAAATTTTATTAAACCCAAAATAATAAAANGTCATTCAATACTAAACATTATATGCACTCATTCTATCTTATTTATACTATTTTATTGACCTTGAGTATTAAAGAGTTTTCTACAAGGGGATCTGTCTCTAATATTTATAAGCTCGGTCGAGATTGTTCAACAACAATCCAACACCCTAAGAGCATTGACTCCCCTTGAAGATTGCTTGGTGATTTCTGGAAATAACAAATATATATAATCCAATGTTCAAATTAATCCTCCTTTTGCTACTCCAGAGTAAGATATATTGTTGAGCAATATGCATTTCAATTTTATTCTCAACGCGAAGAACGAAGACAAAAACTTTTGATCTCGATTTTTAAAGTTACAAACTTTTTAACCACGAGCAAAATTGGAAAATAAATATAAAATATAATAAAGAATATGTTAGAGAATGATAACGACAGAAAAATATATAAACTACTATCCCAGTGCCTATCGTCAAGAGTGGAATGATCGCTATATTTATTTACCTTAAATTTGCTAGATATTTTTTTTGCCTTTTACCGTATTCATTGGTGTGGGGACGGTCACACGTACATGCTATTTATTATACGGGGAAAGTAATTATCAAAACATAAAGAATATAATTCTTTATTGTGTAAATCTCTATTTTCATTTATCTACTTGAATTGCATATTATTAATTTAAAGCTACTAATGAAGGAGACTTTTACCTAAAAGAGATTTGAAATGGTAGTCAATATGCGAACTTCAAGTTGCATCTGAATATCTTCATCAAATACTACTCTTAAGAAAATTTCTTTTGGTGTGTTTATCATGTTAAAACTCCATCAAACGCTTCTCTCAAGAAAATCGATTTTTTTAATGCTTATTAATATTTTTCAGTACTTGTCAAATCTATTTAGAGACAACTTTATATTGAATTATGAGCACAGTTGGTTTAAATCCAGAATTACTCGTTCGAGTTAATGCATTAAGATTCTCATCAATTTCCGCAACTACCCCAGAAATAAATAGTCATTAAAGTATTTATTTATTCAGCCTTCTTTCCTTTATAGTGCATCTCACTAAATTAACCACAAATAAACACAGTCTTCACTGTTTGAATTTTCTTGACCATGTCCTAGGAGATGTTTATTTTCCTCTTTGTTGTTTATAACTAGCCAACCACATTGTCTATGATAGAAACCGTACCAAAATCAATGGAGAGCTTTGAAATCCTTGGTGGATGCCTTTTGTTCCTCTCTTTGTTATCCATTTCCTCCACTTTGGACATGATTACTCCGACCCAACCTCTGAGAGATCGTATGAATGAGAATGTAACTCTTGTCTCAACAAATGGAACCTTTGAAGCAGGATTCTTCAGCCCTGGAAATTCCCGTAGCCGTTACCTTGGAATTTGGTACAAAACCATATCCCCCAGAACAGTGGTTTGGGTGGCCAACAAAGAAACACCACTTCAAGACCACTCTGGAGTCTTAGAACTAGACAGTGATCAAGGGTTTCTTAGTATAAAAAATGGCGCAGGAGCCCAAATATGGTCCTCAAATGCATCATCAAACACACCAAGCAAACCAGTTGTCGTGGAGTTGTTGGAATCAGGAAACATGGTTGTGAAAGATGGCCATGATAACTTTTTATGGCAAAGCTTTGATTACCCTGGTGATACTTTTCTTCCAGGAATGAAGCTTGGAATGAACTTGAAAACCGGTCATCACCGAGCTCTGAGATCTTGGAAATCCCTCTACGATCCTACTCCAGGTGAATTTTCATTTGGTGTTGATACTCGTGGCCTTCCTCAACTAGTTATCACGAAGAGTGATGACATAGTTTATAGACCAGGCTCTTGGAATGGTGTTAGAGTCACAGGAGTACCTGCACAAAGATCTCACCCATTAACGAAATCCCTTTTTGTTATGAATGAAGATGAAATCTTCTATGAGATTCAACTCTTGAATAGTTCAACTAAACTGAGAAGCAGATTGCTCCCAGAAGGGTATCAAATACGTTTAATATGGTCAGATGAGGGTGAAAAATGGGATACTGTATACTCTGGTTCGTTTGATGAGTGTGAGAGATATGGTATGTGTGGTGCTAATGCTATTTGCAACGTGAGTGGAGAACCTCAGCACTGCGAATGTTTGAGTGGATTCAAATCCAAAGCTGCGGATTCAACTTGTGATCGAATTAGACCTCTGGATTGCAACAAGGGAGATAGTTTTAAGAAGTACGAGGGAGTGAAATTGCCAGACACATCTTCATCTTGGTATGATACGAGAATGAGTCTTGAGGAATGCGAGAAATTGTGCTTGAGCAACTGCGCTTGTACTGCATATGCTCAATTGAATATCAGTGCCAACGGAAGTGGCTGCTTGCAATGGTTTAATGACATTGTTGACATCAGGACACTAGCAGATGGACAAGATTTTTATCTGCGAATTGCAGCTTCAAAATTTCAAGGTATGTATACCTTTTTACAATTCATTCTTGGTTAATTCTATCGTCTTTTCATGGATGCTAAGTTCTACCCTGCTAGAAAGTAAGAAGCATTTATGATGAATTATGAAATAGATACAAAGTTATGCTAGGTGAATGCAGGTACAGTAAGCGTACTCGGTAGAAGGTAAGGTATATATATACGGGGAAAAGAAAAAAACAAAATATACAAAGGGTATGCTATTAACTTTTTAGAAATATATATATGCAAATGATGAATACGAAATATTTGTGGATTTCGTGAAAGTATTTATTTATTTATTTATAAAAAAAGGAATTCTCATGAATCACATTGCTGAACAAGTTTCGACAATTGCGAAACTCAGGCGCTGAAATCGAATACTAAAGTAAACCCAAATTACTGCAAAATACTGTGATTATTTTTGAAAAATGTTTTCTTAATAATTTTTTTACAACAATCTCTGAATAGATTATGCAATAGTTTATGATGAATCAATTTTAAATATATAAACCAATAAAATAATTACACATAATCTATCATGAAAAAATTGTTAAAAAAATTGTTAACTTGTCAAAAGTCAAGAAAAAAAATACTTAGTCATGAATGGAGATGAGAAATAAATCTCTTTGCATAGGTATTATCACATGAACATATCCCGCTTTCATTGAAGAATTTTCATATTAATTATATTAATTGAGTATGGATAAAAGTATGGTTAAAACTTGATTGTTTAAATTGGATATGGATTAAGGATAATAACGTGCATGTAAGTATGTAAAATTGTTTTAATTGGGTATGGATTACACGGATGAAGATGTATGAATATATGTATACCTAAGTATGTGCAAGACTTTATTGTTTACATTGTGTATGGATTATATATATCTTTTTATATGCATCTAACTCATTTATGTCATCACGTCTTTTTTTTTTATACGGATCTGACTCATCTATGTCATAATGTTACATTTTTGTTTTCTATTAATAAAATACTCAATTTATTCACTTTAAATATTTTTAATTATTTTTTATGTTTCAACTTAAGAATATTTTACTCTCAATTTTAAGTATAGTTAAATCCTTATAATTTATTCAGAAGAACATAACTTATATTCTTTGTTCTATTTGGTATAATTCATTCAATGTCTAAATTACATTTTTCCCTTTGCTTGATTTCATTTAAATGATTGTATTTCGAGAAATAAAATCCTTGATTTGTTGAATCAACACATCTAAACATTTTTAGTCTTTTCTACCATTATTTGATATTTATTTATTTATTATTTTGTACTTTAATTCAATACTTACACAATTATAATTTCTCTTATGATTTCTGAAATTGAATAAAAAATATATATAATCTTTATATTAAATACTTGATGTTTATATAACTCTAACAATATAAACATAACTAATATTTTAAACATCAATGGGTACTACCAGTACGATGTTATTATATCCATATTATTAGAGAGGGACCACACCCACCTATCTCTTGTCATCCTTGTAGTTACAAATGTTAAGCTCAACATTAAGAATGAAAGAAAATAATGGAGAAAGAAAAGAAAAATGTATTTGAGGGTGTAGAAAAATAATCGAAGTTAAGTAGGATGTTTTTGAAATTATTTTTATAAGAAAAGAAAAAAAAGTATACATGAAATAAAACAATAAAATAAGATATATATAACTTAAATTCGGATACTTATATTATTTTCTTTTCAAGTCTTTTATTTTCTTTCAATTTGGAAAGGTGCATATCCCTTATAAACCAGAAGATATGTTCCCAAGGTTAAGTTGTACAAGAATTTCTATATATCTCTGTTTCTGTTTATATGTGATGTAAATGGTCCAATGTGAAATTGTGTGTCTGTTGATTATTAGTTGATTATGTTCTTAATCTTTCAGATCACGCCTTAAACAGGAAGATAGGAGGAATTATACTTGGCTGCACTATATTCATCATCGCCATTGTAGTATTTGGATTCATATTTTGCCTTAGGAGGAATAAACTCAAGCAGTCAGGTGAAGTCATTATGATTAAATATTGCCAATGTAATTTTTGTTATATTTTACTTTAAACCGAACAATGACGGAATGTAAATAATGTTAAAAAAAAATCCAAACAAATGACTGGATTCTTCAATTTACTATGGTTTGTTTGAAAATTAACAACCTTTAAATAAGTGGACCAAATACATATAACAAAACGCTTCTAAATAAATGAAAAATTAAAACTATTTATCTTTATTTTATCTCAATCAAAAATAAACTAAATTTTATTAAACCCAAAATAATAAAATAAGATTTAAACAAAATTATTAATAAATTCTTAAAATTTAAATTTACCTCAACAAATAACAATTAATCTTCGTTTCTATGCGTTGAATTTTGTTACACTTTACGGAAAATTCTTCTCTATTATATCTTTGTTTTGCATAAGATCTGATAATTTTTTTAGTGGCAGAAACAGAGTACTGGAAGGAGAAGAATAAGAACGATGACATTGATTTACCAATATTCGATTTTTTATACATCTCCGATGCCACAAATAACTTTTCTGAGAGTAATAAATTGGGACAAGGGGGATTTGGACCAGTGTACAAGGTATGAATTAAATTTTAGTTACCATTCATCTTCGCATAGAAATAACTTTTAAAAATTATTGTCAGGGCATATTATCAGATGGGCAAGAAATTGCAGTTAAGAGGCTTTCCAAAACTTCAGGACAAGGTTTGGACGAGTTTAAGAACGAAGTTATGTTGATTGCAAAACTTCAACACCGCAATCTGGTAAAGCTTCTTGGTTGTTCTTTTGAGCAAGAGGAAAAGCTGCTAATTTATGAATTCATGCCAAATAGAAGCTTGGATTACTTTATTTTTGGTGGGGCTTTTGTTATGATCTAATTATTCCAATTTTTGTGATATTTTCCGTCAGACTGTTATGCTAACATGGTAGTGAATTTTCAGATTCAATAAGAAGTACATCAATAGGTTGGGCTAAGAGATTTGAAATCATTGATGGAATTGCTAGAGGACTCCTCTATCTTCATCAAGATTCTAGACTGAAAATCATTCATAGGGATCTCAAGACTAGTAATGTTCTTCTTGACAGCAATATGAAACCAAAAATATCAGATTTTGGTATGGCTAGGAAATTTAACCTAGATCAAGATGAAGCAAACACAAATAAAGTGATGGGAACATAGTAAGTTTTTCTATACTTGTTTATTTCTTTCCCCTTTTGCAAACAGTTCTAAATACTCATGTCTGAGTAATGCTTTTTTTCGCAGTGGTTATATGCCTCCCGAATATGCTGTACATGGATCATTTTCAGTCAAATCAGACGTATTTAGTTTTGGCGTAATTGTATTGGAGATAATCAGTGGGAGGAAGAATAGAGGATTTCGTGACCCACACAATGAGCTAAATCTTCTTGGACATGTAAGTTAAAAACTTAATAACAATGAGCTAAAATCTTTTTGTAACAATAAGTCTTACTGAACTAAGGATAAAACCAATTTATATAAATGAAAGTAAATCTTATTGTAAAATTGAGTTAAATTTAAAATTATTTTTTAATGATTTTTTATAGGCATGGAGATTATGGATTGAGAAAAGGCCAATGGAACTAATGGATGAATCAATGGACAATGCAGTTGATCCATCTCAAATATTAAGATATATTCATATTGGTTTGTTGTGCGTACAACATAGACCAGAGGATAGGCCAAATATGTCTTCGGTAGTTTTAATGTTGAACGGTGAAAAGTTATTGCCTGAGCCAACTCAACCTGGATTTTACACGGGAAGAAATAACTTGACCATGACAGATTCTTCTTTAAGGAATTTGGATGCGTGTTCTCTCAACGAAATGTCTGAGACATTACTTCTGGCAAGATAGATGATTTAAAATAAAATAAATGATATGGAAAATTGAAAAGTTTACGACCACCAATCTCTACAAGTACTACTATATGTCTGAAAGAATATTATTCACTTTGAATGTGAGATAACAATTGCTATTATTCGTTGATAAATATGATATTTGGACAGATACATATGCTTCATTATATGTATATTTTGACAACCCTATATGTCAGATATGGTAAACAAGGAAGAGTAGATTATGCGTTCCACTTAAGAGGTGTAGAAGATACAAGCAAAACTCGATTATTTAATTATTTTATTGTTTAAAAGGTCAAGCAATGAAAAAGGATGCCATAATTGAGTTGATTTTCACTTTTGCCTGAGCTACTATCTCTCTAGGAAACTTTCCTTTACAAATANTGTTCCCAAGGTTAAGTTGTACAAGAATTTCTATATATCTCTGTTTCTGTTTATATGTGATGTAAATGGTCCAATGTGAAATTGTGTGTCTGTTGATTATTAGTTGATTATGTTCTTAATCTTTCAGATCACGCCTTAAACAGGAAGATAGGAGGAATTATACTTGGCTGCACTATATTCATCATCGCCATTGTAGTATTTGGATTCATATTTTGCCTTAGGAGGAATAAACTCAAGCAGTCAGGTGAAGTCATTATGATTAAATATTGCCAATGTAATTTTTGTTATATTTTACTTTAAACCGAACAATGACGGAATGTAAATAATGTTAAAAAAAAATCCAAACAAATGACTGGATTCTTCAATTTACTATGGTTTGTTTGAAAATTAACAACCTTTAAATAAGTGGACCAAATACATATAACAAAACGCTTCTAAATAAATGAAAAATTAAAACTATTTATCTTTATTTTATCTCAATCAAAAATAAACTAAATTTTATTAAACCCAAAATAATAAAATAAGATTTAAACAAAATTATTAATAAATTCTTAAAATTTAAATTTACCTCAACAAATAACAATTAATCTTCGTATCTATGCGTTGAATTTTGTTACACTTTACGGAAAATTCTTCTCTATTATATCTTTGTTTTGCATAAGATCTGATAATTTTTTTAGTGGCAGAAACAGAGTACTGGAAGGAGAAGAATAAGAACGATGACATTGATTTACCAATATTCGATTTTTTATACATCTCCGATGCCACAAATAACTTTTCTGAGAGTAATAAATTGGGACAAGGGGGATTTGGACCAGTGTACAAGGTATGAATTAAATTTTAGTTACCATTCATCTTCGCATAGAAATAACTTTTAAAAATTATTGTCAGGGCATATTATCAGATGGGCAAGAAATTGCAGTTAAGAGGCTTTCCAAAACTTCAGGACAAGGTTTGGACGAGTTTAAGAACGAAGTAATGTTGATTGCAAAACTTCAACACCGCAATCTGGTAAAGCTTCTTGGTTGTTCTTTTGAGCAAGAGGAAAAGCTGCTAATTTATGAATTCATGCCAAATAGAAGCTTGGATTACTTTATTTTTGGTGGGGCTTTTGTTATGATCTAATTATTCCAATTTTTGTGATATTTTCCGTCAGACTGTTATGCTAACATGGTAGTGAATTTTCAGATTCAATAAGAAGTACATCAATAGGTTGGGCTAAGAGATTTGAAATCATTGATGGAATTGCTAGAGGACTCCTCTATCTTCATCAAGATTCTAGACTGAAAATCATTCATAGGGATCTCAAGACTAGTAATGTTCTTCTTGACAGCAATATGAAACCAAAGATATCAGATTTTGGTATGGCTAGGACATTTAACCTAGATCAAGATGAAGCAAACACAAATAAAGTGATGGGAACATAGTAAGTTTTTCTATACTTGTTTATTTCTTTCCCCTTTTGCAAACAGTTCTAAATTCTCATGTCTGAGTAATGCTTTTTTTCGCAGTGGTTATATGCCTCCCGAATATGCTGTACATGGATCATTTTCAGTCAAATCAGACGTATTTAGTTTTGGCGTAATTGTATTGGAGATAATCAGTGGGAGGAAGAATAGAGGATTTCGTGACCCACACAATGAGCTAAATCTTCTTGGACATGTAAGTTAAAAACTTAATAACAATGAGCTAAAATCTTTTTGTAACAATAAGTCTTACTGAACTAAGGATAAAACCAATTTATATAAATGAAAGTAAATCTTATTGTAAAATTGAGTTAAATTTAAAATTATTTTTTAATGATTTTTTATAGGCATGGAGATTATGGATTGAGAAAAGGCCAATGGAACTAATGGATGAATCAATGGACAATGCAGTTGATCCATCTCAAATATTAAGATATATTCATATTGGTTTGTTGTGCGTACAACATAGACCAGAGGATAGGCCAAATATGTCTTCGGTAGTTTTAATGTTGAACGGTGAAAAGTTATTGCCTGAGCCAACTCAACCTGGATTTTACACGGGAAGAAATAACTTGACCATGACAGATTCTTCTTTAAGGAATTTGGATGCGTGTTCTCTCAACGAAATGTCTGAGACATTACTTCTGGCAAGATAGATGATTTAAAATAAAATAAATGATATGGAAAATTGAAAAGTTTACGACCACCAATCTCTACAAGTACTACTATATGTCTGAAAGAATATTATTCACTTTGAATGTGAGATAACAATTGCTATTATTCGTTGATAAATATGATATTTGGACAGATACATATGCTTCATTATATGTATATTTTGACAACCCTATATGTCAGATATGGTAAACAAGGAAGAGTAGATTATGCGTTCCACTTAAGAGGTGTAGAAGATACAAGCAAAACTCGATTATTTAATTATTTTATTGTTTAAAAGGTCAAGCAATGAAAAAGGATGCCATAATTGAGTTGATTTTCACTTTTGCCTGAGCTACTATCTCTCTAGGAAACTTTCCTTTACAAATATTTATAGATTTTTGCAAATTTCTCTTTGTATCTCCTTTAATGACAAATGACAAACAATCATTTTAAACTAGGTATTATAAAATAGTACCACAACACCTTAGCAGGGTCATCTGATTCTTCATCAACACTACTTCCATCAACACCTTAATAGTGATAACTCACATATTTGACACATCCTCAATGTAGTACACTCATCTTTGTACATGACACAACTATTAAGACATGTATGTATCATTTTCTACTTCAAACCCATAGGACATAAAAAAAAGGTTTAATGTCTCAATAGGTCCCTATTTTTGTTCAGAATTTGAAATAGGTCCCTTTATTTTTTGGCGTCTCAATTGGGTCCTTATTTTTGTTAATTTGATGCAAATAAATCCTTTCCGTCAATTTCATCAAACGGCGTTAATGAATGTGTGACGTGGCCT